CTGTGAGCTAAGGGCTCTGGAAGCAGCCACTGCTGCTGCTCATTAAGTGGCTCCCAAGGCCTTCTTCTGGTTTGCTGGAGTCAGGGCTGTGTTGGCACAGCCTGTGCTGGACTGTGTTCTCCTCTCACTCAGGTGTGACAAGACCTTTCCTGCTAACCTTCTAACTTGTCTTTGGTATCTATGGGCTGAGAAGTCTGGAAACTACCACTGCTGCTACCAATTCAGTTGCCCCAGGCCTACTCCTAATTTCCTGAGGCCCAGTGTGTGCTTGCTCAGTGTGCCCTAGACTGTGTTCCTCTGTCACTCTGTGCAACAGGCCTTTCCTGCCAACCTTCTAAGCTGTCTTGGGCTGGAATATTGCTTCACTTTGTCTTTTTGTGGGTTCTGCCATTTGGGGATTTGTTTAGAGTAATTATTTAAAGGTATCTAGACAGGGTTTGGGGAGAGTTCATGGGAATCCCTGCCTCTACTCAGTCATTTTGGCTCTGCCTCCCAGCAGTTTCAATACCAAGGGAAAGAGGAGTGACATCCAATGGCAGCAAGTCCTATATATTCTCATATTTATCTCCAGGGAAGATGGCACTCTGGACAGCTGTACCTTAGGCATAAGTCTCATTTGGATTGATTCTTTTGTTACCTCCTTGCTTTTGAAGAAGTCTTACAAGAATTTCTGGACTTGAGGTATCTATATGGAACCACTCATCAAGGTGATGTCATGAATCTATGATTTTTCTAGCTTAGTATCTCTTGGGGCTTTTCCCACAGAGTCCAGTGTACCACATAAAAGGTCAGCATTCAGTTCTTCAAAATGGTGATGGATGATACAAGTCAATATCTTCACTTGTCAATCTCAAAACTGACCTGGGTTTTGGAAGATAGGGTGCTCTTTGGATGGTCACAAGTAGTACACAAATGGCTGACAATCATCTTGTTCTCACTGATATCCATCTTGTGCTTTCACTTGAACTCAGCAATGAAATGGTTGACCATGTGATTGTCAAAGTCTTCTCCACCCAAGTGGGTATCTTCCACTGTTGGACTTGACTTCAAAGATGTCATTTTTAATGGTAAGAATGGAACCTTCAAAGTGCCACCTTCAAGGTCAAAGATCAACACATTTGCTACTCCGTGCGGCAGCAGCCCTTCATCCTCCACAGCAATCAGCTATGACCCCTGACTCCCCAGCAAGCATGTTGAAGGGACAGTGGTTGGCATTGATCTTGGCACCACTTACTCCTATGTGGGAGTCTCCCGACATGGGAAAGTGGAGATCATTGCTAATAACCAAGGAAACAAGACCACCCCAAGCTACGTCACCTTCACCAACACAGAATATTTAATTGATGATGCTTCAAAGTATCAAGTTGCAATGAAACCTACAAACATTTGATTGGTTGCAGATTTGCGATAATGCAATTGTGCAGTCAGATATGAAGCATTGGCCCTTCATGGTGGTGAATGATACAGGCAGGCCTAAGGTTCAAGTAGAGTACAAAGTGGAGACCAAAAGTTTCTATCCGAAAGAACTATCTTCTATGGTCTTGATCAAGATGAAAGAAATTGCTGAAGCTTACCTTGGGAAGACTGTCACAAATGCTACGGTCACAGTACCAGCCTATTTCAATGACTCCCAATGTCAGGCCACCAAAGATGCTGGAACCATTGCTGATGTCAATGTGCTCCAAATCATCAATGAGACAACTGCTGCTACTATTGCTTATGACTTGGACAAAAAGTTTGGTACCAAGAGAAGTGTGTTGATCTTTGACCTTGGAGGTGGTACTTTTGATGTCTCCATCTTTACCATTGAAGATGGCATCTTTGAAGTCAAGTCCATAGCTGGGGACACCCACTTGGGTGAGGAGGACTCTGACAACTGAATGGTCAACCATTTCATTGCCAAGTTCAAACGAAAGCACAAGAAGGACATCAGTGAGAACAAGAGGGCTATTTGTCATCTGTGCACTGCTTGTGAACATGCAAAGCATACCCTCTCCTCTAGTAGCCAGGCCAGTATCAAGATTGACTCCCTCTCTAAAAGTATCGACTTCTATACATCATTCACCCAAACCTGTTTCGAATAGCTTAATGCTGATCTCTTCTGTGGCACACTGGACCCTATGGAAAAGGCCTTAAGAGATGCCAAGCTAGATCAATCAGATTCATAACATCATCCTGGTGGGTGGTTCTACTCGCATCCCCAAAATCCAGAAGCTTCTGCAAGACTTCCTCAATGGCAAGGAACTCAACAAGAGTATCAATGCTGATGAGGCTGTTGCCTCTGGTGCAGCTGCCATTTTGTCTGGAAATAAATCTGAGAATGTATAGGACTTGCTGCTGTTGGATGTCGCTCCTCTTTCCCTTGGAATTGAAACTGCTGGTGGAGTGATGACAGTTCTGATCAAACATAATACCACCATCCCCACCAAGCAGACACAGACCTTCGCCATATATTCAGACAACCAGCCTGGTGTGCTTATTCAGGTTTATGAAGGTGAGAGAGCAATGACAAAGGATAACAAGTTTGGCTTGTTGCTTGGCAAGTTTGAGCTCATAGGAATCCCCCCAGCACCCAGGGGTAGTCTTCAGATTCAAGTAACATTTGACATTGATGCAAATGGCATCCCCAATATTTCTGCTGTGGATAAGAGCATAGGCAAGGAGAATAAGATCACCATCACCAATGATAAAGGTCATCTGAGCAAAGAAGACATTGAGCGTATGGGCCAGGAAGCTGAGAAATACAAGGCTGATGAGAAGCAGGGAGACAAGGTGTGTTCCAAGAATTCACTTGAATCTTATGCTTTCAACATGAAGGCTACCATTGAGTATGAAAAAGTGAAAGGCAAAATTGGTGATGAAGACAAACAGAAGATCCTTGACAAGCATAATGAAATAATCAACTGGCTAGAGAAGGAAGAATTTGAGCATCAGCAGAAAGAATTGGAGAAGGTCTGCAACCCCATCATTATGAAGTTACCCAGAGTAAAGGGGACATGCCAGGAGGCATGCCTGGTGGGTTTCCAGGGGGTGAAGCAGCCCCATCTGGAGGCACTTCTTCTGGACCCAACATTGAAGAGGTTGACTAAACACACCAGAAGAAAGAGCATTCTACACAGCTTTCCAAAAATTGGAAGACTCAAATTTGTAGCCAAGGCAGAAGCGGCTTAAAAGTAACATAAGCTACTGTGTAAATCTGGGCATTCTGAATGCTTGAATGTGTGCAGAGGGACAGAGGTGAACATTTCACTTTATCAGTATTGTAAACAAGTGGAAATGTAATTCTTGTCCTGGAGAATAAAATCTATTTAAAATTAGCACCAAAAAATAAAATAAAATAAAATAAAATAATTTAAAAAATCAACACGTTTCTCTTGGCATCAACACTTTTTGCTCAGGCCATATGTAATGGCAGCAGTGGTTGGCTCATTGATGATTTGGAGCACACTGAGATGAATGATGCTTCCAGCATCTTTGGTGGACTGTTGTTGGTGCCAGTACTATGATGACAGCATTTGTGACAGTCTTCCCAATATAAGTTTTTCAATTTATTTCATCTTGGTCAAGACCATAGAAGATACATCTTGTTAGAAACTTTGGTCTCCCCGTTGTACTCCACTTGGAACTTGGGCCTGTCTGTGTTATTTACCACCATGAATGGTCAATGTTTCATGTCTAACCATACAACTACATCACGGAATCTGCAAACAATCAAATGTTTGGCATCAAAGACTGTGTTGGTAGGGTTCATTGCAAATTGATTCTTTGTAGCATCACTGATTAAATGTTCTATATTGATGAAGGCAATGTAGATTAGAGTGGTCCTGGTTCCTTGGTCATTATCAATGGTTTCCACTTTCCCATGTTGGAAGATTCTCACACAAGAATAAGTGGTGCCAAGATCAATTCCAATTGTGGGTACCTTCAGCATGATTGCTGGGGCACTGAGGGGTTGTAGGTAACTGCTTTGGAGTAAGAAGGGCTATTGTTGTACTATGTAACCCACCATTCCTATTTCAGTTTGACTTCACTGCCCTACATTATAGTTGACTCAGTGACCACACTAAGAATGACCTCTACCACCAGCATGTAGCTCACATAACACAATCATCATACAGTAACATCAAAGCTTAAGTACTATTTGCTACATGGTTCCTCTGTCTCTTTGGCTTCATCTCCTTTCTCATTCAATCTTGTCTTTATAGACCAAGTGTTCTCTCTTCATCTATCCATTACACTGATGGCTGACATTAGCAATATCACTGTTTTTGTGAATCCCTAAATAACCACCTTTGAATGTCCCCTCTATAGGATGAAATGGGAGAAAAATTACTCCTGACAAAATAGACAAAGGCTCTTAATTTTCCTAGCTTGGCTGGATCTGCTAGATACCGGTAAGTCCGTCTGAACACCTCCATCCCCTGCTCTCTACCTCCATCGATATACATCTCATTTTCAAAAATATTCATTTAGTATCTACTGAAGCCCAAGAGTATTTTTACAACTTTCTTTTAATTTAAAGTGTTTTAGCAGAGTTTCTAGTTATGATCCAAGCTTATACAAGATATCTCTAAAAGGACATACAAGCAAAAGTTAGCAAGATTTTTAAATAAAAATACTCTTTTATTGAATAGATTGTAAAGTGTATGTTACATGCAAGGTACTATAAGAGACACAAAACATAGTAAGGTATGATCCCAGTTTTCAAGGACTTTACAGTATAGCAGGAGAAACGACAAAGTATGTCATAACTTTCATGAGAGCAGAGCAAAAACCGTTTAAAGGAGAAAGAGGCCACTTTGGACTGGGATGGTATATAATTATTCCACTACTTTCAACATCTGACCTATTCATATCTTTATAATTCATCTATTTCCTAGACAGTGTAGGCTTGCTTCCATAATTTTAAACATCTGTAGATTATTTTTAATTTAACAAAGCATTTTTCTTATAATTACCCTTTGATATAGTGCAAATTTTATCACCACTTTACAGGTGAAGCCAAAAAGGTGTAAAGAGATTGTGGAAATTGGTTAAAATCATACAGTTAATAAGTTTTGGAGTCGGAATTGAACCCAGGTCTCCTGACTCACACACCAGACCGAGGTGTAGTTCCTATTTGCAGTCATGGCAGGAACTTGCTATAAAACTTCAGACTGTTCACTTATCTTCACTGTACCTCTTTTTCTTCATTGATGAGATGAGAATAATTAACTGCTCTCCATTTGCTTCCTTGGGAACTTGTGGTTTTGTGTCCATACAATCCTTCTATAACTCAGAGAGAAAAAAGATTACATTTTTTAAAAAATTGCTGGTGCTGACTCACACTTATGACTTGAATGAGTATTAAAACCTTAACTTTAACATGCCTGCCTGAAGGCATATGTACATATAAGAAATACTTAAAGGCCAGTTTCCAATCTTTTGTTTGCTGGTAGTTTGGGAATTGCTTCTTATATATATTTTTGACTGACTTTTTCTTAGCTCAAACTTTTGAACATTTGCAGATGTGATCTCCACAAAACCCTGACCTTGTGACAGTTAGTCTGCTGATTCCATCTCTATTGTTAAGGATAAATATACAATTTACTTGTTAACCTTATTCCATTTATGCTCCTCCATTTCCCTATCCATTCTACCTTCTAATCTCATATCAAGGGTCAGGGGTGCTACTGAAGATGTAATTTGTTGTTTATAAAACCAATTTAGTGGTTGTGTGTAAGGAAAAATTGCAAAGCATCTGAAGAGAAAACCATTTCTTGCCCTTGATCTATTTTCTTTCCTACTTCACATTATCATTTTTTAATGTCGATTCATTGTGACTGTTGGAAATCTACTATTCTGACATTTCCCTAAGTATAATGGAATAGAAGCTCTTTGGACAAAGAAAGACCTTTCCAATGAACATTAGATTTTCTGGTAAGGTAAAAGAAGGAACAGACCTGTTCATTTAATATTTGCCCTCTGGTTCATTTATTCATTTATTATTTTGTGCTTTATTCGGCAAATATTTGGTAAACACTCAGCATGTGCAGAACACTGTGCTAAATGTTGGAGGATGCGTGAAATTAAGATATAGCCCAAGCCCTTATGCATGTTGAAGCTTAGTAGGAAAATAGAGTCAAACAGAGCTACTTATAATAAATAAAATTACATGATCACTGCCTTTAAGTAGCTGAAGGATTGTCATCTGAAAAAAAAATGCAGTTCATTTTTCTTGGCTGCAGAAAGTAGAAACAGGGTCGGTGGGTACAAGTTGTAAGAAAGCAGTTTGAGGCTTAATGAAATAAATGATTAGAATTGTCCAAAAATGGAATAGGCTGACTTGGGAGTTGGTGAGCTCTCCATCAAGTGTAGACCGAATAATCATTTGTCAGAAACATTGTAGGAATAAGTCTTCCTCATGTATGAGTTAGTTTAGACAACCAAAGAGGTCCCTTATAAATCTCTGAGATTTTGTGTTTCTTTGATATTTAATATGCTACAATTTTTAAACCAATCAATGTTATTTAAGGATGTGGTGAGTGTCCAGCAACTCTTAGACAGGCAGAAGGTATGTGTGCACTCTTAAATATGAGAACTAGTCATTACTAAAAATTCTTACTATTTTTAAAAGACTATTTAACAATATTTCCTTTTGTGATAATTATACATATATACATATCTATGGACTTGTTGTACATCACACCTAGATTTGAAATTGACCAAATTCTAACTAATTTGTCTATATCAAAATCAATGGAGTGAGGCAAAACCCCAAATGAATAACATAAGGCTAGGCTCTAGACTTAAGTTACATGCTCAATAGTGCTCACTCCCTGAGAGGGAAGAGTCACAAAAAAATTTCATAGTTTCACTTGTCCAATAGAGTAAAAGCCATCATTGTAGCTATTTCACTCTTTTGCTTAGCTGAATTTAATTTTAATTGTTTTTGCATTATTTTCCTATCATGAATTATAAATTAATTTTAGAACCCTTTTATGCTACTCATACCTCTATTTGCCTCAGAGGCAAAGTTAACAGTTATGGATCTATTGGCAACCCATGTTATAAATCCTCCTCTTCTCCATTAGGATGCTTTCGAAACTTGAACCTATAATAAATACCTGGCAAAGGAAAAAAAAAAAGTGGGAGTTCATTTCAATAGGCTCTCCCAGATCAAGGTCCTTCTAACACCATTCTCATATAATATAGTTAGGAAATAGGGTTTATACCTCCAAATTCATTGGGATAAAGAACTCCCAGGTGAGGAAATTCCCTCTAACAATGCAAGTTCCTATCTTTTTTGCAACTTATAGTCTTAGAGAGTGTCTATAGTACTATAATGCTAAGAGAGTTGTTCATGGTCACAACTAGTATGTATGAGAGGAAGGACTTGAACCCATATCTTCTCAGCTTTGAGGTCCATTTTCAAACCATTATGTAATACTGCCTCAATCCATAAAGATAATCTCCAGAACATTTGACCATTCATTTTTTTATACATCTCTTCATAATCTTTTTCTTAATACACTAAAGTTATCGCATTTTTTCCTCCTCAAATATTCTTCCTTTCATTTTCTGTAGTAAGAATTTATGCCTTAAATTCAACTCAATAAATATATAGTGGAAAAAAGAGCTTGTTAATATAAGAAATTGAATGGGGATGGGGGGGACAAATATTTATTTAGCTTTTATCATGTGCCTTGTACTGTCCCAAGGCTTGGGATACAAATACAAGCCCCCCCCCAAAAAAAATATCCTGCACTCAAGGAAGTTACATTCTAAAGGGAGAACACAACTGAAGCAGGGAGGGGAAGAGACCCATGTAAAAGTATGAACTTGAACTCCTGAGAGTCAGAAGCACAGGAAGCATGGGAATGAAGCCCCATCAGCCTATGTTACTCTCTCCTCCCCCACACAGATGCAACGGGAAGACAATCACCAATAGGAACAGGGACTTGGAATGGTGGAGAGATATTGCAGAGTGAGAAGGAAGCTGAGGAATTATGAAATTTGATTTGTCTGAAACACAACCAGAATGGGATTTGAGGCTAATCAATAATTGCATCATCTTCATGGTGTTACTTATTTCACAAATCCCCCTACAGTGTCAATTCTTTGTTCCAATAGTATGTTCTGCACTATTGTTCCTTGTACTTTAATCAGAGAGAGTGCAGATACTTATACACCTCATACCTTAATCCAGATACATTAGGCATGACAATTCAGAGGTACAAATATATAGAGTGGTGCTTATCCACAGCACAACAGTCACCTAAGCACAGATGGAGCTGGGTGACAACTGTATCTGCTCTTATTTCTGGCCATCCATCCTCTGCTCCAGGAAGGTTAACTCACTCTTTGTTTATCTTGAGAAACCTAATATCATTTCCTGAACAGAGATGCCCACATTTCTGAAGAATAACCACTGGCTCTTGCTACAGTTTGAAGCTTTACATACAAAAGTATGAAAGGCTTCTTGTTTGCAGTAGTTACAGATACAATTTCAACAATTCTGTCTCTGTTGTCTCATGTATGCTACTGTTCCCTTGATTTGATTACTGCCTTTGAAAATTAGCAAGACTGATTCACTCTGAGAAAGTTGTGCTTAGAGTCAAAAGGACAAGGTTCTAGGTATTTATTCAAAATTAAGTTCACTAAATTCAATGTGCAAATCACTGTCTTAGGTAAAAACTTGCTCTACCTTCATGGAGCTTGCAAGTAAGCAGAGGGAATACAACATGTACATAAAAATAAAATATACAATCAACGTTGCCTACACAGTGAGTATATAATACAGAATGGACTACAATAACAGCCTTGAAAAAGATATGAGACATAATGTGCAATCTAGGAATGAAAAGATCATTTCCACCTGGAGAGATCAAGGAGGGCTTCCTGGAGAAACACGGGTTGCAAAAAAGGATAATATTCAAAAAAGCGCAACTGCAGAGATGATCATTCAGTCTTAGAGAGAAACTCAGGCAAGGGTATCAAGCTACCAAAACATTGCATATATACAAGGACTGGAGCCCTCTGTTTCATCACTTACTAGCTTTGTGACCTCAAGCAAATCCCTTCACTCCTCTGAAGAGATTCAGTTTCCTTATCTGTCAAATGGAGATAATTGCATGTGTCCTGATTGCCACCTAGAGAGGCTGTGATGGTCCAAAAACATAAAGAATATGAGATACATTGTAAAGTGTAAAATATCATTCAGATACGCTTATTGCTATGGTCACTGTATTTACCTCTGCTTCTATATACTTTCTGACTCTCAGATGATTTCCTAGCTTTTGAACTATAAGTCTGTCTTGACTTTTGGCTTCAACACATTTCTGTGAACTAATTATCAGGATAATATATGTTTCTCTACTCTGTCTTGATCTTTGAATTCTAAGGACTTCATGGATTCAAATTGCTCCCTTGCCTACACCTCACCACTTATTCTCAGACTGGCTCTGCCTTCTGTAAACATCTCTGTTGTTGTTCAATTATTTCAGTCATGTCTGATTCTACATAACCCCATTTGGGATTTTCTTGACAAAAATACTGGAGTGGTTTGCCTTTTCCTTTTCCACATCATTTTACAGATGAGGAAACTGAGGCAAACAGGATTAAGTGGCTTGCCCAGAGAAATAGAGCCAGTAAGTTTCTGAGGCCATATTTGAGCTCCGGAAGTTCTTCCTGACTCCAAGCCTTGTACTCTATCGACTGTGTCATCTAGCTGTCCTTACAAACACCTCTGCTCACATTGAATTACATATTTCAGAAAAGTTCAAATAGATGTAAAAAGAAAATATGCATAAAACATTGGATATTTCCTTCTCACAGAGGGCACATTTCCCATATAGATTGTGAACACCATTTTCTGGAGAGAAAATGAAATGGTGATGGTGATAATCTTCCATATAGCAGGTACCTGATGTCCCCTCAAATGAAATCCACACTTTTAAAGGCTACAAAGTAGTTGGTGAATTGCAGCTCTGCAGTAGTCATTTCTAATCTGAAACAAACCCATCCACTGTTCTGACCTCTGCTGCTCCCATTGCAAGGAACTGGATGAAATTCATTTTGAGCTATCTCTGCTAGCAATGATAACTTGGACTTATATAAAACAAGAAAGCTGACAAGGCCTGGATAAATCCCCACCTAATTTCAATTCACTCAGACATTGAGTGTTGCCTAGAGTTCAATCTGAAATTTTCTTGCACATGATTTAGACTTCAGAAATTAATGTATAAATTGTGTTTTTTAAGTATGTTCTGAGTTTTGCTAAAATGTATAATTATTTTATTTTTTGCTTGCTGAAAAGTTATATTCCAATGACACTATAAAATTGCATATGCCTTTAGAACTGTCTGGTCATTATCTGTGTAATCTCAAGCATTCTTAAAAAATATAAAATTGGTATGTAATAGCTAGTGAGTCATTGACATATTTCTATTAACATTATTGACTTCCTGACTAAGGAGTGTAAATATCTAAATAATTGGTGCAATACTTCCTTTTGTTTGAAAGTTTTTACACTGTTATAATTTTTGTAATGCTGACAAAATTTTGTAGCTTTTAAATTTATGTACATATGTGTATATACATACATTTGTATAAAACACAAATGTAAGAGTTTATATATAGGAAAATATAAAAACAAAACAAAATAAAACAGTAAATCTGTAGTCAGAGTTGGGTAGCCAGGCACATTTCATAGAACTATAGATATGGAGATAGAATGTACCTCAGAGTTCACCATAATCCAGCTGGGAGGAGACTGGGATCCAAAGAAATTAGGTGATTTGACCATAGTCACATATGTTAAGTCTTTTATAGGAAAAAGCAAAAGTTACAGGGAAATTCTCCATTTGCCAGGTTATGATGTTTTCCCTTTTTTATAACTTTTACTATATAACTAAGAACTCAATTAACAGCTACTGACTAAGAAATGAAAGGCATTGACAAGAAGTTACTTTTTTGTATAAAAATTCTGGTTTGGCCCCTTAGCAACTTATTACTAGACTGATGAGTAACAATGGGGGAAGAAAACGGAACTGAAGAAATTTCTGCATTAGCAGCTGCATAAGCAATAAGCTAGGGAAAAACCTGTTGAGAACAGGAACAGTGAGATTAAGCTTTACCTATGTGAAAGTAAATATAGATTGTTTTGGGACAATCTGTGCCATTGGTTAACTTAGATCCCAATAAATAAAGGAATCTTTTCTATTCTCATCTTAGAACTCGATTCTAAATTCCTTACTCGTACCATTTCTACTTTCTACCTTCCACTAGTTATTTTTCCCTTAGCTTAGTCCTGCATTTTAATCATCTCATCTATCATAACCACTCATGCTTACTCAGTTACTTGATCCTTCTCTCATGAGCAAAGGGAAATTTCTTTCTTACATATGACTTTAGTTATTCCACCTCTGTGATCAAAAATCTGTAGTGGCTCCCTATTACCTACTCAGTAAAGTTCAGATTTCTCTTTCTAAAATTCAAGACCTTTCCCAGTTTAGCACCTTCTTTCATAGTCTTGTCTCTTATTCTATTGGACATACTCTAGCCATTAGCGACATTGATCTATGCTCAGACTCTACATCCAATCCCCTTCCCTCAAACTCCAACACAAAACCCTACACCATGCCCTGGATTAGAGTGCTTCTTTGCCTTCCTTCTTTCTTATACATGCTATGTTCTCCCCTTTCTCTTCACCTATTGAATTCTTATCTGATTTTTAAATACAGATCAAATGCCACCTCCTTCCACAATCATCATGGTCAATAATAAAGAACTTGTTCATTCCTTTGGAGAGTTGTGGTTTGTTTTAGTCCTTGTGATTGGTCCTTCATTCTCAAAGAGGACCATGCCATCAGGGAGATGGTAATATGACTTGAAATTGACTTTGATTTGAGTGAAGAAGGGCTGTGCAAAGTCACCACCCTCATTTTCTCCTTTAAAGCCATCTGGGTTCAATGGCCAGATATTGATCAGGATGACTGCAGATTGCCTAGGATGCAATGGGAGACCTTGGACCTTTTTTTTTTTTTTTGCATGAGGAAATTGGGTTAAGTGACTTGCCCAGAGTCACACACCTAGTAAGTGTTGTGTCTGAGGCCAGATCTGAACTCAGGTCCTCCTGACTGCAGGGCCAGCACTCTATCCACTGTGCCACCTAGCTGCCTTTCCTTGACCCTTTTAAGCTAAGGTGTTTTCAAGTTCTCATTTTGAATGAAGCAATGCCTATTCAGTGAATAGGTCTCTTTGAGAAGTGAGTGGAGGGGTGGACCCTTTAATTAAAAAAAAAAGAATCAAACTGGGAGGGGAAGACCCTCATGGTTGCTGGACAAAAGAGAAATGGTTACTATTTATGTTCGCTCTGAGCCAAGAGGGCCCAAAAAATAACCATTAAGTGGTGCTTGGGCAGGAACCTATTGTCCAATCCATGAGATCCAGAGCACATTGAGTTTAAGGCTTGGTCTTTGAGAAAGAAATCTAGCCAGTAAACCCCAAGTTAACTAGGTTACTTTTGGCCATCAAAATTTATCTTCCTTTGGGCAGAGCACCTTCAGATAAGGGAAGAGGGGAGAGGAGCATTGAGGAGAGTTGAGGAGAGGAGGAGAAAAGAGGAGAGGAGGGGAGGGAAAAGGAGAGGAAGAAAGGACAAGCTAAATTGCCCAACTGGAATTGTCCATCTGGGTCCCCATTCAGGCATCTCGGACTACTCACAGATTGTAGTTTGTCTTTCGTTCTCGAAAAAACCATGACATCAGTGAGATGATGACATGACTTGCAACTGACCTTGATTTGAGTAAAGGAGGGCTGTGTAAAGTCACCAGCCTAAAACTCTAATGTTTATAATATAATTATTTTTATTTCTCTCTTCACATCCTCATAGCCAAAGCTCCACCAGAGAGTTTACTGAAATCAAAACCCTCTCCCAGCACCTAACAGTGCTTTTGCATCCAATAGGCACCTAATAAGAACTTGGAAGAATGAATTGAACTGATACTTTCAGGACCAGGATAACTTACTTTAGAAGCATTTTCATTCACAAGGAACTTAAGCATTTTAAGTCATTCGGTGGTTCTTGAAACTTTCAGTGTCATGGACCCTTTTAGCAGTTAGTGAAACCTGTGTACCCCTTCTCAGAATATCATTTTTAAATGCATAAAATAAAAATATAGGATTATAAAGGAAACAATTACATTGAAATATGGTTATCATTTTTTTAAAGTTCATAGACTTTATGGATCAGGATGTCTGCAGATTGCCTAGGATGCAGTGGGAGACCTTGGACCTTTGGATCCCTGTCTAAAACGATTAGTTTGATATACAACTATAGGGCTAGATTGTCATTCAATAGCTATTAAATACCAAGGTGCCTACGATGCCAATTGGTCTTTAATAAATGGAAGAAATATGGCGTGAAAGCATAAGAAGGCCATCTCTTCAACTCTAGCTTTTGGGAAGCAAATACATCTCCTCTCATTCTAGTCACTCTCTAACTCCTCGGCCAGCATATCATCTAGCATTGCATATGCTGCCACATTTGGATGGAATATGCTAGAAAAAGATATTCCAGGCCCAAGATTTATTGGGTATTATTTCAGTTTTTTTACAGAAATTTTCCCTTCCACCAAATCATTTACATTTGTGCCAGGTCTTTTGACTAAAAAAGGCTATGCCTGGATATGTTAAAGCTTTCATTTATTTCAGCTCAGCTTGTTTCCCAGCCTCTTAGAAAGAGGCTGAGACTGTGAGTTCTCCATCTCTCTGCTTGCCTCCCACTTTCCCTCGCACCTCCATTCATACACCTGGCTTGATGTGAGAAAATGGAGCTGGGATTCTGTCACATGGGCAGAGAAAACAGGAGTGAGGAAATGTTGTTTTGCTCTGAACCTCCTACAGAGCTAGCAGTGCATTTTCCTCTTAATCCTTCTCCAGGGAGGCTCTAGTATTACAGCCAGAG